TTTGCAACTTTCAATGATTTTTATTATTAAATTTCGATTTGCTTTTCTATTAGTTGTGAATCATTTTTAGCGTTAGATGCTTTATTGCCGATTTATTCATACGAAAATATAGAAACGTAAATGTATCCCATAAAATAAATACAAGACATCAACACAATAAACTGTCATAAGAGCCTTGTACTTTCTTCTCTAATCTCTTTTTATTATTTTCATAGTCATTATCTATCAACTACAAAAGGCATTCATTCATATTCAGACTCGTCATAACTCACCGTCGATTATGAGCGAATTTTATGATGAAGTCCTTAAATTTTTATTGCATCCATCAATGAATGAAATGCCAGGCCAGATGCATTAACGTACTATTACTTTGTATGAAGAATTAGATCGGCATGAAACCGTGTCGAAATGACTGACGAGCTTGTTTTATATATCATCTTCTCTCGGCCAGTTTTTGCCTATAAAGATGTTTTAACCTATAAAGCGATTTGAACGCGGGTCTTAACGATCGCGCTCCGTGTGAAGTGATCGAGTAGTTTTTTTCTCATTGTTAGCTTTATTTTATTTTGCGAATAAAGCCCTTAACTCGAGGCTTCATATCGGCCAGAACAAATTTGTTTCGTTGCGAGCATTTTACAACATTTCAAAAAAGTGAGCTTATATGAAATACCTGCCATTTTGCCTTTTACTACGCTATTAAAGTGTTACGCTGCGAAACGGTGTACGCCATGTGTAAATGCGAGCTTTAATTTATTATTTTTATACTGTGGTAATAAATAGTTTGAATTTATAGGGCAGATATGTCGTTGATATCACTAAATTGCCCTTAACACAAGCCAATATTGATAAAGCGAAAATTGATTAATTTGTACAATGGATAAATGTTGAAGTAGATTTTGGTACTAACAAGAAGAACCTCAGATTTGGTCTTCTTGGATTTTGAAGAATCTTGTCATGGTGATAAAATTGATAGTCAAACCGAAGAGTTTAAGATATCATTGGTCTATGAGAAGTGGTTTAATTATAAAAATTAATTAAAGTTTAGAAAAATGGACCATGGGCAATAGTTTTCCGGATTAATAGGTCTAGATATCTCAGTCATTTAATATGATACTACTACTATAGTTTAAACACAATTATCTTAAAAAGTTTTGATTCCTGTTTTATTTCCTAGAGTAACTGAATCGATGGCGCGAAATATGAATAAAATGTTTATAAAGATATTGTTGA